TGCGTTCCGGGGAGGACTTTATTGTAAGACAGTTCATTCGCTTACATAAAATCAACTAACTTGTAAATATCCGTCAGAAAAAAATTAAACAAAATAAAAAATTATAAATAAATAATAAAAAACCTATTTAGTGTATGGGGGCTCGGGAGACTGAGACCTCGGAAGCCCCGAGGAAGACATCAGAGAGGATGTCTAAAGCTCGGCCCAATGGATATCGACGCGGTTCATCCCGGAAGACTCATGAGTTTAATATTAATTTTTGTAATAATATTATAAAATCCTCGTTTTCTTTTTTTTTCTTTTCTCTGGTGGTACCCATTCTATTTTTTTTCTAACATTCTCACATTCTAACATGTCCGTACCATGTTATTTGTTGTTTTTCGATGTCTTCTATAATTGATCTTTGTACATTAATTTGATTACTTATGTCCTCATTTCTCACATGTTCTAATCTAGACTTTTCCGCTGCTCTCCTCCAAAAATCCATTTCAACTTCCAAGAGGTTATCTTCAAGTTTTTGTGATAACTGCCATATTTCTGAGCCATAGACGATTACTGGTTTCAATATGGTATTAGGTATTCTTTTTTCGTTTCCGGTCTTATATTTTTTTTGCCATAGTACTGAATTCAATGCACCTCTCGTTCAATTACTAACTCGTTTCCTTTTAGTTATTCTGCCTTTTATGGCTTTATCAGTTCTTCCTGTCTCTGTTAGTTTTACCCCCAAAAATATATATATATATATATATATATATATATATATATATATATATAATATATATATATATATATATATATATATTGATCGCGCTTCCTAATTTTTCTGTCTTCTAAGTCATCTGCAGAGGTCATCTGCTGTTTTATCTCCTCCTATGCAAAGATATTGCCGTTTTTGTAAATTTACCTTGAGGCCCAATTTTTTGTACTCTTCCATTAGTTTTCTACTCATATACTCCAGGTCTTCGTTGTTTTGGACAATAATTACCTGGTCATATGCATAGTGCAACGTGTATAACGTTTCATCCCCAATAGACAGCCCCATCAGTTTACACTTTAATTCCTTATTTCCTCTTTTGACTTTTGTTATTGTGTTGTTATATAGATATTTAATAGCGTCGATTAGTAGAACGCTGATACTGGTTTTCTCCAATACTTCTCACAATTTCGCCACAGCACGTTTCGCCACAGGTGTCATATGCTTTTGTTAAATATACTAAAAGTAAATGCACTTCTCGAGATCTTAGTGTTTTTTTCTCGAGTATTTGGGATAAGCAGAAAATACTATCCATTGCGGATAGTCCTGCTCTGAATCCGTTTTGTTCTTCTGATTCAAAAGGACGGTATTCTTCGCATATGCGTTCTGATATAATTCTCCCATATAATCTGCTAAGCATGCTCGTAACAGTTATACCCTGATATTTATTGAAGTCTTCCTTATTCCCTTTTTTATGGATAGATGTAATCCATCCTTTTTTCCAACTTTATGGCACTGGTTCTCCGTGCAAGTGCCTATTATGCCTACATTATACAAAAAACCTAATTTTGTTTAATTTATTAATGTTTGTATTTTGAGAACGATTTCCGAAGTGGAAATTGAAACGTCAATAAACTTATTTTAAACTTTAATGTGTGGCATAGTCCCATTAATATAGTAATTTACTTCTAATCTAGTAAGATATTTATTTTTTTCGGACCTAGGCAATATTTCATTTACATTACAATAAAAAATCTAACAATTTATATAAAATGCAAAAAAATTATTTTTGAATAAAAAAAGTAAGTTGTACAAAGATATCCATTCATCACTTACATAACTTGCTGAGGATATTATCACCGTGACATATTAGAGAGAAATTTATAACATTTTTTTGTACAAATATTATCATTTTTCAAACCAGACAAGACACGATTATAATGCACTCAAAAGAATGACAAGAAATTCTCTTTCGTTCAACAGTAACACGAGTTAATTAAGCAAAACATTTACTTCAAAAATGAAAAACTTTCTATTACATACTTTTAATATAATAAATGCGGAATTATCAATGAAAGATGGGGAAATAAGGTTGTATGTTAATAAACGCCGTGACAGGTTAAAGAGCGAGACTTTTTTATGTAGTCCATACAATTAATTTCACATAATTATAAAACTAAAAATTGCGAGAATAATTCATAACTAATACACTATTGAAAAGACAGTGATTTTAACCTTATCTACTCTACAATTATTCACATAAAACTTGAATGGAATGAAATAATTCAACTGTTATATTAAATAAAAATATATTTTAGGATATTCTTTTTTTTTTGTGGCATAGATTTTTGTCATTCAGCCAGTCCTAGGATATTCTTGACTTAACCACGATAGCAAGTTACCGAAAGATCCACTAATATTTTTGGAAAACAAGATTAGGGTCTTAAAACATCGATCGAACCATAGAAAAGGGAATAAACATTGTAAGCTGTTAAAATTTCGTCTTCACTAATTATTTTTCCTCATAATTCTGATGCTATTTGTAAAAGACTTTAATTTGTATTTTAACTGTTGAAACTGTTGTAAAAATTACATTCCAAAAGTTTTGTCTTTTCTGGACAGTATCATGTATAATATAAAATATTACAATAAGTTTATCTGTTAAAATTATAAAATTATGTAAATTTTTAGTATTGTTATTGAAGTATTTTTTATTTTAAAAAAATGATAAAATGGAAGTAGGTTTTACAAAGCAGTGTTACAACTTATCAGCCTTAGTTTTGCACACTTTTTGCAAATTCGTGTTTTACCGAAGGCGTGTGAGCGCTGAATGTATGTACGTCAGCGACTCTCTTTAGCCCAGTAGCTAGAGTACCTTTCTGTATGTATGAAAGGATGAATAGTTAAAAACTATTCTACTTCTATGTAAATTTTTTCTCTGAATACGAATATGTAGGTCCCCCATCTCAAAATTCCATAGCAAACATAACGTTTACAAACAAAGTTTGAACGTCTAGGTGTAAATACTGCATATATATATATATATATATATATATACCCGGTTTTTTAGGCGTCACGCCCGTCCGGTAGGGATCTATGGAGGAGTATCACCGAGCCACAAGCCCTTATTTTTTGCCGTACTGCTCCACCATAGGCCGATCAGACACCAGCATATTCTAGCCTAAGCCGCAGATTCATCTAGAATTTTAAACTGCTGCGTTAGACTTTTTGTTTTCTGTACACCGAGCTGGGGACCGAACCCACATCCGCTAAACCATTCGCAGCGAAGCGAATGAGAAGCAGCCGCCCAGCTTGCTAGGCTATCTGAACGACCGAAATACTACATATACTTGTTTCAAATACACGTTGAGGATTTTAGACGTAGTGATAAGTGTATGCTGACAAGATTGAGTGAAATGTTTGTGCAGATATGTATGATAGTGTAGGGTAACTGTTTTTATAAATATTTAGATTTGAACAGAACACGGTGTCAGCAGCAAGTTGTTCGCCTAGACGTGAAATCGTGAAAACATGTTGTTGTAAAAGAGAAAATATGCAGCCACTATAATTATAGACCAGCTGGCAAACACAAAAAGAACACTGTTGTGATCAAAAGAGTGGTACAAGAAAAGGAGTCAGTTTTCGCATTTGAATTTGTTAGCCGAATTAAGGGTTTCAGAAAAAACTCATTTAAAAAATTACTTAAGTATGGATGATCACTAATTTAGCTTCATTTTGGAATTAATCGAGTCTAAAGTCAAAAAACAAAATACTCTATTGAGACAAGCAATCACTGATGAGGAAAGATTAACAGTTACGCTACGTTTTCTTGCAACAGGCAGATCTTGTGAAGATGTGAAATTTAGTTAGTTGTTGCGCCTATGGTAACTTAATTTAATTCTTCAAAAAAACAAGGTTTTGTTCATAATTTTTTTCGCCATGGTCTTTAGCCATAGATCTTAACTGATGTACAATATGATTTCCAAATGCGCTATACTCGTCATCAACTTGATTGATCACTTCATTCTGCAAATATGGATTTTGTTTCTTTGAATCTATTTTTCGTTTTTTACTCGTTGGTGTTTGCTTCGGTGCTTGAAGAACAATTTTTTTTTAGTTTTCAACGTGTCAACAAAAGTGTACTACAATTGCAACAGATTTTCAACAATCCTGGAATTTTCCTAATTGTTGCGGGGCATTAGACGGAAAACATATAAAAATTGTTCCGCCACCTGGTTGTGGGAGTTATTTCTTTAATTATAAAAGATTTCACAGCATTGTCATGTTAGCCATAGCTAATGCTAATTATGAATTTATTATGATACACATAGGAACAAATGAAAGAGTATTTGAGATTGGTGTTATGGAAAACACTACATTTAACAGAAAATTACAATCAGATAAGCTCAATTTACCGACAGAACAACCGTTACTTGAATGTAGGGATAAAACTCCGGTTCCGTATGTCTTTGTGGCAGATGATGCAGTTTCGCTGTCGAAGAACTTAATGAAACCATTTTCTACAAACAATTTGAGTAATGAAGAACGTATATTTAATTATCATCTAAGCCGTGCAAGAAGAATCATAGAAAATGCATTTGGAATATTAGCTGCAAGGTTTCGAATATTTCATACACCAATAAATACAAAACTTGTCATCATTGAAGATGTCGTTTTAGTAGCTTGCGTTTTGCACAATTGTTTACGTAGAAATTCTATACAAACTTACACTCTAGTTCAAAGTTTAGATATTGAAGATACTGAAAATGGAACTGTAATCCAAGGTGACTGGCAAAATTCTGACGTAACATTTGCACCATTGCAAATAAATCACAACAGATGCTACAGAAGAGATACTAAAGAGGTACGGGAATATTTCAAACGCTATTTTAATAACGAAGGAAAAGTATTATGGCAAGATGGATTGATATAAAGTAATACTTGAATCAACAAAGAATTAAATGATTATTATCATTACAACAATACAATCTTTTTTTCTTAACCTGTGTCTGAAATTTGACCCTACCTTACTAATACTATCCTTATAATCATTTGAAGCTTTTATTTGTTCCTCTAAAACGTCCGTATTGCCTGTGCCCCCTCTAACCATTTCTTGAACTTCGTCAGTTCCAGTACCAGACAATTTTGATTCTTTTACCTTTTTCAATTCTCGCCTGAACGCTGTTCGTAAAGAATTAATTTTTTTCACCACCATATCTTTGTCGGCAACTGGCTCTATTTCTTTTAATTTTTCAATCATCCTATCATAAGCCCTATTTCTTAGATGTTTATTACTGTACTTCTTAGATGTTTATTACTGTACTCTTTACTTTTAATTTTCCACAGACACGGCAACTCTCTGTATAACTCAATAAATTCGGCTATAAATTGTTTAGAATAATATCTTATATCACTTATTTTGTTTGTTGTTCAATGAACCACCAAAAATAATAAATCGTAAATTTCGTCGTACCACTACAAGCACAGACTTGTTTGTGCGAACTGTGGTTCCAACAAAAAATCAAAATACCCGTTTGCGCGGGTATTCTCGAAATGTTGTTACATGTAGCAGTAACACAAACAAATAGATATTGACATGTTTGTAAACATGTTGACATTATTTCTTTCTCTTCATAACATGTTTGCACAAACATTATATTTAAACAAAATGCATTATCTAGGGTTAAATTAAGTTTGTGCCGACATGTTTGATTAAACATATTTTATCTGACTAGTATGAACATTTGATGTAGTCTTATTTTTATATACAAACTAGTTAAACAAATTTGTTGCTACGTTTAGAGCCTGCTTAGTTGTATTAATCTTAGTTCTAGGTTTAATTGTACTACTGCGGAAACCTTTCGGAACGATATATAAGTCGAGAATACGAAGATTTAGCTTAAAAGTCCTAATAACTTTTTACATGGTGCATATTTCTCTAATAACTATACATAAATATAAAGTATGAACCTACTTTGACTATTTACTATTGAAAAAAATTGGAGAAACTTTCTTTTTCATTGAGTTAACAAGCAATAAAAAATATCTCTTCTCTCGTACAGAATCACAATCATACGGCAGGTTAGTACGTCTTGGTATTACCCTTGCTAAATAGTAAGGGCAAGGGCTAAAATATATTTATTTATTTCTTGTTAACTCAATGAAAAATTGAGTGAAAAAAAAATATGAAAAAATTGAAAAACATTCCAGTTATTTAATAGTAAATTGTCAAAATAGGTTCAAAATTTCTATTTATGAGCAGCTTTTAGAGAAATATGCACCATGTAAAAAGTTACGAGGAATAAAAATTACGATAAATCTTCGATTTTTTGACTTAAAATTTTAAATAACCTTTAAATTACAACTCTATATACTCTAAATTACTGGAAATCATCCTTGATAGTGCCAAAGAAATAGGAGGCACAGAGCAACAAAATAAACATAAAAAACTGTCTGATAAAACCAAAATAATGCTAAAACAAAGAAGGAAAATAAAAGTAAGCTGCAGCATACAGTAAATACAATACACAGAACTTAGTAAGACCATAAGGAAAAGTATTAAGGAAGACATAAGAAAATACAATGAAAGACTGGTACAAAATGCAATCGAAAACAGAAAAAACTATATGAAAACAAGAAAATAATTAATCATTTGGAAGAAGGAAATCATTGCTTTAACCAACAAATACACTAGTGTGTTTACTACCACTACTTAAAAAAGCAGTCAGTAACGAAGATGTACCAGAAGTACTTCCGGACGAAGTAGAATCGACAATAATTACAAAAATGAAAAGAATTAAAGCAGCTGGAATATATGGCATAACGGTAGAACTGCTTAAATAGCAAAAAAACTGGAAAACCTTAACAGGCATATTTACAAACTGCCTAAGATCAAGATTCATACTGATTCTGATTCATATGAAAGGTAGAAAAGAGGATATCAGAAACTACAGATCTATAATTCTACTACCAATTATATACAAGATATTCATAAAGATCATCAACAACAGATTAACAAATGCATTAGATGCTGCACAGCGAAGAGAGCAATCTGTCTTCAAAAGTGGATTCAGTACCCTGGATCATAGCAATAGGTTTCGAGATCTAATGGTTCGAAACAAGTATTTACTTAAACTGAAATTACGTACTGTAATTTCTTAAAAAGTTTCTGTAAGTTAACAAACTCTTTCACTGAATAATATGTATGGTCTTTCAGATAGATAGGCTTTTGTAATTTTACGGAACTTAAAGAAAGTTTTAAAATTACGTCTAACCTATTCTTAAACTTAAAATGCTAGTTTTATTTTGTTTAAATGGGTTAGTTTGTTTATATCTTTATATATTCTTGTAATTGTAGAATAATTCATTTTATTTTAAAATAAAGATCTTAAGTACGTTCATTTACAGAATTAATTGATATGTTTAACCTCATCGAAATAATCACCATGTTCCATTTAAATGAATGTATTTATTTTAAAACAAACTGAAGATTGCTTTGTGTAATTACTAATTACAGCGAGTTGCATTGTGCTAGTGTTCACCATGTTAAATTGTCAGAACATGCAAGTACTTTCCTAACACTTATTCTATTATTAAAACATTAATGCCTATTCAGACATTCTTTTTGTTAAAAAATTGCCATGAAGGATCTCTTTCTTAATCTAATGTAATAATTAGTAACAGTCTTAGTCTTAGGTTTGACAATGAGTTTCTTGGAAAATTTTATATGAACAAGAAGGTACATATTACACGTAATATAAAGAGTAGATGTGTGACATAACACAAGTTATAATTTGTTAAACTCAAATTAAGAGTTAATAAGGTATCTGCCAAAAACAATAGGTACTGAAATCTAAGCATCAGGGTAATTATTATGTACGTGAGTTTCTTTATTATATTTAACTTACTGGTCATTGTGTGATTAGAATATTGTCTGTTAAACTTAAGATTTCATGATAAATGAATATGTGTATTCTTTGTGTTTTGATTTGGTGGGTTTAATACTTCGGTATTTGTTACTTTGTCGATCCACAAAATTCTTAGCATATGCCGTTATGCTAAGAATTTGACACGTACTGCGTACACTTCGAGGGCTTCCAGTTTTTTACACATGGCACCTGTGAGTGTCTAGACTTCGAACATATACATAAGTATATTGAAGACATAACGTAAGAGAATAAGAAGCCTTAATGTAGACGTAGATATAACATCAATTTTCAAGTCACTGTTGTTTCATAATTTTAACAAAAATTATTTGTGAACGTGGGATGTACAATCTTCCTCTTCTACTTCTTGGAGATTTTTCGATCTATTTAATTCTGAAGCTACCTCTGGTTAATTTCCTGGGAGGTAGATTACCAAATATCCCTCCATCTTTTAGGTGGTCTTCCGGGAGGTCTTGAATCGGGCGGGTTGTTTTCTAGGGCAATTTTTATGAGTCTATTTTCATCCATTCGTCTTACATGATTGTACCACATCCTCTTAGGCTGCCTTACTTATCTTACAATAACTTGAATTTTGCACTACTCTCTAACGTTGGTATTTCTCACCCTGTCTCTTCTTGTTTTGCCCACTATTCTTCTTAGGTTTTTTTTATTTCCGCAATCCTTAGCATCTGTTTTGTTTTGTTGGTATATTTGCGCACTTTTATGCCATATGTCATGATCGGTCATATGCAAGTCTTGTAGATTCTAATTTTACTATCGGTGCGCATATATGGATTTGACCGGACTATCTCCCACAGACATCCTGACAATGCAGATGCTTTGTTGATCTGACTCCTTAGGTCCTTTACTAGGTCGTGTTTGCTTGATATTTCTATGCCCAGATATCTGAATTGCATCACCTGTTCTCTGGGGTTGTTCTCAACCATTACCTTACATCTGAGTGGATCTTTTGCTATTGTCATATATTCAGTTTTCCATTCATTGGACCGGAACCCTTCTGTAGGAAACTCAGTTTCCAGCTGTTCTCCGGGCGTAGAGGTTTTCTCCCCGGCTCTGGAACTCAAAACTTTTTGCAATGTATGTTACCTGAAGCCATATTTAATTTAATAATGAACATCACAGTTTTTTAACAACAAGATGTATAATCTTTGATAACTATAAGTAATTTAAAGGGTTTTTACCCATGTATTTTTGGTGGCTCAGGCATTTTAACCTAGCAGATTTTAAACCTGATGATGGACTGTTTAGTCCGAAAACGTTTGTTTTTTTGATGTAGCCCTTTTAAGGGTTTTTAAATAAATATACCCACTTACAAAGACTAATCTCTTTTCTTTTTTTTTTATTTCTTTTTTAAAAAAATATGCTTCACTGATAAATCAATTAAACCCCTAACGCGACACTTCCTGAATTGAAAGTATTTATGGCAATTGTCTTAGTAAGCGAATATAATAAGCTACTATTTAAAAGAAGCTACTGGGAGAGAAGCCCTGACATGCAAAATATTCTGGTGTCTGATGCCATGAGAGGTGACAGGTTCTTATAAATTTGTCGTTTGCTTCATTTGGCAGACAATAATAATATAGATAAAAATAACAAAATGTACAAACTAAGACCACTTACAGATATGTTAAAAAAATCGTTCATAGAGCATTTTGTCCCAGGAGAAAATATAGCTTACGATAAATCGATGAGACGCTACTTTTGGCAACATGGATGCAAACAGTTTATCAGAGGAAAGCCTGTAAGGTTTAGCTATAAGGTGTGGTGTATGAATACACCTAGCGGATATTTGATAAACTTTGAAGTATATCAAGGAAAAAATCCTAGATCTTATGAATAATATCAAAAATATTTCGGAAAAGCTGCAGCTCCCATGGTACAGATGATCGAAGAATTGGGTGACAAAGGATCTCTGAGATACAAGTTTTTCGTTGATAATTGTTTTACTAGTACAAACTTGTTAAGTACTCTAAAAGCTTATGGGTACGAGGTTACAGGTACTGTGAGGGATATGTTCAGTCGGTCAAAAATGTGGAAAGATATTCCAAAAAGGATAGCAAGACAATACAAGTACCTACGCCATATCTTCTTTTGCAGTATAATAACAGCATGGGAGGAACTGATCTCATGGACAGTAATATATTTTGGTAAGAAATGCAGAGCAATATTTATATAAATGAAAATATATGAGTAATTTCTTTTTTCAATTACCGAGCCGGCATACGCTCAAAAAAATGGTACTGGCCAATATTTACGTACCTCATAGACGCAGCTCTTCAAAATGCTTGGACGGTATGTAGGAAATCCGGGAAGA